TGACCAAGGGCAAATTGAAGAACAATATCAGGCCTTTTGTAGCAATAACCTATAGTTTATGTCTATAGTCTGTGAGTTGTCCATTATTACCCAGGAGTAATATATAATGCTACGAGTATTCTGTGTAAAACTATATTACAGGTTTATTCTTTCAAAATTTATGAATTTCTACTTTACTGATGAGCAGTAAAATTTCTTCAAATGGTCTAACTCAATGACAGGAAGTGGATCCACGAATAGACTGTTCCTTATGTTTCTTTCTCACCAAAATTCACATAAGGTACCTTTGATAAGTATAACGCCATCTCTAATATCACTCACTCAAAGTCCACTGAATAGCATATGTAAAATATACTTCTCTACCTTGTATGGTAATCCAACTTTTTCACAGCTCAGAGTCGGATTTTAAACCTATCACACATCAACTGAACGTTTTATCAATTGAAGTTAGAAATTTATCACTTGAAGTCAGTGGTAATACATCTTTTAATGCTCAAACTACCACATTTCTTTTCGCAAACAAATCTCATTTTTGGGCTTTATATCAGGATCATGAGACAACTCCCCTTTGAGTGCTAAATTTTGTTTCCTGATTCCTAATTTTTTCATGACCAGGATTAAACCCACCTTCTTTCGCATGCCAAACTAGCACTCTACCGACTAGGGTAAAGGGTTAAATTCCTGTCATCCTCTGTTTGGCATTTTTTAAGAACTAAAGCTACCATATAGAAATGTGGTCATACTACAATTTCTGCAAGATAATGTTAAGTTTTTTCATTAGTTTGTTCTGTTGGATTTCACACAAAATTAAACGAAAGCTATTTGCACTAGTCATCCCTAATTTTGAAGTATTACACAAAAGAAAAAACAACTTGTCAACACCACCCATTGCCAATTCTTGGGTACTCTTGTCAGATCTAATAGTTTGATCTGACCATCACTCTTCTATCACAATAACGGCCCTAAAGGGATAATCGCGACCTTTTCTTTTTGATGATGGAAGTACGCGAACCACGGAACCTCGAATCCATTGTCAAGTACGCTAACCATTGGGCTGTGCTCGTCCCAACTGTGTCAAAAGCGAGGATATCTGTGATTTGAAAGAGGCTTGACTTGCAGAAACATACTTAAAAAGTTAATTTCTTTGACTGGCTGTTCAAAGACATCTGGAATGAAATAAATTAACAATTATAAGTGAAAAAGCATATGTTCGGCACTAGAGAAAAATTATGGCCACCAATTGCTGTTAGTAAACCGAGGAAAAAGACAATTAGACAAGCTTGTGAAATGGAACATACATCTAACTATGTTCCAATTGAATGGTTCTCTCAAGTGATCAAATTTTGACTTGTATAATGTGAAGAATGTTATAAAAATTTCGTAGGTCAGTCTAAAAACCACTTACTGATCTTATAGGCAAACCAGAAAAATAAGTATTGGTGGTGTTTAGAATTCAAATAAGAACTTACTGGAAACATATGACGTGATAACTAAATGCTAGAGGTGGCATTGTACTTTGGGACTATTTTCATGGATGGGCTGAACCTTTGGATTCTTTTAAAAAGGTAAATAACACCGTGATTGCATGGATCCCCCCCCACACCTATCCATCTAAGACAGTAATATAACAAACAAAACTTACATGGTTCACGTCATACAAACTCAATTAATAAGATTGAAATTAATTTCCGATTACAGCCAGCTAGTTACCTACAGCAAAACCAAAAACAATCTGGTAATGAGTATAGCTAATTAAATATATTTTTATTACGTTAGTACTTAATAGTTGGGATTGGCAAAGATTCCAAATAATTCACGTGCCGAAAATCCACCCCTATCGAATTCCTAAGCGATATACCGACCATTCAAAGTATTGGTTACGATATATTATGCGCTTATAGGCTAATAATAATATAAAAAGATCGCTAACTTATTTCAAATACGTTAGTACTTTATAGTAGGGATTGGCAAAGATTCCAAATAATTCACGCGCCGAAAATCCATCCTATCGAATTCTGAAGCGATAAACCGACCAATCAAAGTATTGGTTACCATATATTATGCGCTTATATACAAATAGTAATCTCAGAAGGCCGCTAACATTTTCGGTATAACATTTCTAAAATAACAACTTTTTCGTCTACTACCCACCTACCTGAACACGTCAGTGGAGTTAGCGCCAAGACAGCTTAGACTATCGCTACAAGATTTTTCTCCAGCTCACTTGACTGGTCTGTGGGTATCCGTTTTTGATATTCCGATAAAAACCCGTACAGGTATAATATAAATGGTAGACATACCATGCACGTACTTAAATACCTTTTCAACCCAACAGATGACACTACATATAGATGAATAGACACGCGACAGTTTCTAAAGGTAAAGTATATACTTTATACAGGTATAATATAAAAGTAAACAAACAAGAATATTAAAAATTATGAATTTTAAAATGAAGTAGAAATCCTACTACAAAAATGATGAAACAAGAATTAAAACTACAATCACAAATTTATAAAATTTAATTCCTACTTTGGCAGCTTTATACACTTATCTGTAGACCAAAACAAGTATTAAATCCTATAAATTTGTGATTATGGTTTTAATTCTTGATTCATTACTTTCTTTACCAGGATCCCTACTTCATCTTAAAATTCGTTATTTTTTAATACTTTTGTAGATATTAGAATGCATTGTTTCATCAGTTTGGAACCCTAGCTTTAGCGATATTTTCGATCATAAGTCAGTAATATCGCACGAGGTTTGGCTTGTTTGTTGTTAATCACAAAGCTATATGTTGCGTCAGCGAGTCACGTGACCACCGTGACA